CCCCCCCCCCCCCCCCCCCCCCCCCCCCATTTTAACAAAAAAAGCACCATTTTGTGTCCTACTTACTAGCTGGTGCTGATGACCACAAGTGATTTCTGCAAATTAGAGAACTGTGATAGCTTAAGGGGACATGCACCACTTCACATGCAATAGGCACATTATTACCTGAAAGATGAAATAAGCTTGAAATAAAAAGGCCAGCTCCTTGAATTAAAAAATCCCTCCAACAGCTTTGAAGCAAAATGACCAATGCCTTTACCTGATTAGAATTGACAGAGACTGACTGAATCTTTCAGGGGATTAATGCATTTGTCTTTCAAATCCTAAGACCCAGATTCTAATTCGATCACAAAAAAAATGTCTGTTGTGATGGCACAGTGTGTAGTACAGTGCTTTTTTTGTAAGGTGGGAGAAGTTTTAAAACAAACATTTAAAGTTGCACTCAATTGTAAAAGTAATCCAGAGTAGAATAAGGCATCAGCTAACATGTTCCTGATTCTTTCCTTACGTAACAGTAATTTTCTATTTGAAATGTTTATATAGACAAGCTTTTCCTGTCATTTTCTGTATATACATTTTAAAGTTTCACATTGCAAAGACAAGATAAGAAACAGAAAAACATATATATTTACACACACAAAAATTGAAATTGCCCTGAGGCACCCACCCTTGCAGGATTTAATTCTTTACATAGAGCAATTAACAAGAAATACAAACATAAACCCCTCCAATTTCTTCCTCCAAAGCAAGAACAAGAGCAGGGTGAGTGAAAAGGATGAATATCCTACCTGGTGATGTCCAAAGAGGACATAATTAACCTATATTGAAATATGGAACACAACTGAACATGAATTTCAGTATGTAAGGCTGCACTGATGGTGATCTAGATTTGAAAATCACATGAAACTTCTGTGAAACATACTGTAGCTGGTTTAATACACAAATATTTCTCTATTGGAATGGCTGAACCACATTTAAGAGAGGATTTTAGATGGTTACATTTCCTGCACATTACTGAGCCCTGTGATTTTTTTTTTCTTTCCTCAAGAAGTACAAACTTTAAAAACAGGCAAACAAATACATTGCACAGTCGCTCCTACATTCATCGGGAGAAATCCTGAAACAGTACAATGGTGACTATTTCTGCTTTTAATATTAGTTTTAGAGAAAATATTACACAGCTAAAATACATGACTTTTGAAATTCCCTGCATTCGCATCAGATTCAAAATCAATACTTAGTAAGTCTTTATTTTTACTTTAACAACATATGTATTCCTTAGCTATGAGGTTGCTACTCACTAATTTATCTGGAGAGCCTTTCAAAGTTATTAATAGCTATTGATACTATTCTCAGCGCAAAGACACTTACAGTGCCAATCCAGCACATCCATCTGTCCAATTACATTTCTAAAGACACTGCAGAAATGATGGTGACTGTTTAAAAGTGGTTCTTAACAGTGACAACTCTCTGCAGATTATGCCATTTATTTTAACAAGAATTCCTCTCAAAGCCCAGTCTCAAGTTTAAAAAAATATTTCCTCAAACAAGTGATATTTTAATTCCACAATATAAGGAAGGAAAACCAGAATTATCTAATTGGAATACTGTTTATGAACTACACTGTTTTAGTTATCCAAGAATTTCACACATCTTGTTAGCTCCACTAGCACTATAATTGAAGGATATTACAAAATGAAAAACACATACCATAAAAGAAAACATGTGACAAACATAACTTCACATACCTTAAAACGTTTACAAAGCTTTCACATTAAATTCCTTTGCAGTATTTTAGTTTCCCCTTCTCCCCCTTTTCTTTCTGGCTATAGATTAATATTCTATACAACATACTTATCTTTCTGCATTTGTATTAGAAACACTGTCTCAGTCCTGTATATATTTACAAATGAATACAAGGTTCACTGTGGCTATATGACCACTCCAGACTGGCTAGTCAAAAGCAAACTTGAATAAGCATCTACATGATTAGACCCTAGGCTTTTAAACTAAATGAAGTAATGCACCATAAGCACTTAAAAGTATGTTTACTTTTACCAGTTTGTAGAGATTCCAAGAATAAAGCTCAGTCTTTGACTAACTAAAACCTCAGAATGAATAAATGGAACAACAGCTGAAGCTATAAACTTAGCCTTTAAAACAGCACATGACTAACTGCATGGGCTGCACAACTTGAGAGTGAAGACTGTTAGAGAAGTACCATTGCAGCGTCAAAATTGAGAGGCCATATACTTTTGGATTTAATACCTATGTAAGTTAAAATTTTCTACTTATTACTTACTTAAATTTTAATAGAGCAGTTTATAAGGCCCAAAATTAATGATTCTTCTAAAGGTCTCCAGTGCTTGAGTTAACTCTTCTCCTTTGATGCCAATTATTCACTGCACATATTGCAGTCCAATCTTCAATTATCTCAGTTTATCAAGGTTCTTTATGATAAAGCCTATGATTGAGGATTGAAGCTGAACTAAAATAACATGCCTATTGCCTCAC